TGGAGTTTAACAATAAACAGAAAGTAGCATTTGACATATAACGTTTTGATTTCAACCACTAGAGGGAGCCGAAACATTACAAAAGTTTAGCACAAATCTAAAGATACACATGACACAAACAAAAACACTTATCCAAGTCAAAAATTGTGTGTTTAAGGCTGCTTTTCCCCTCAGGTCTGACATCAGACGGTTACCTGTGTGCTGACAGCCAGCCTCCAGGCAGCAGAGATTACGAGGAGCATCAGTACGTGAACACCCAGAGTCTGGAGAATCTGGAATCACTGGCCAACGGATACAGAGGGTCCAGGGTGCCCGAGAGTCCAAAGAAAGACCTCTTTGACATGAGTAAGTCCTGACAGACAGATATAGTAAAGATAAGCACACTTTTTATAAAAAAAAATGCTGTAGAGTGACGGCATTTGTATTTGTGAAACATTGTTGTCCTTGCAGGGCCCTTCGAGGACGCACTGAAGCTCCACGAGGCCTGTGGTGGAGCTGTTGGAGCTGTTGGAGCTGCAGGGGGAGGTGTGGGGGTCCTGGAGGATCAGTGGCCCAGCCCCCCCCGCCGCAGAGCCCCCGTGGCCCCCAACGAGGAGCAGCTGCGCAGGGAGACCTGGTACCACAGCCGCCTGAGCAGGAGAGACGCAGAGAAGCTGCTGGTCAGAGACGGAGACTTCCTGGTCCGGGAGAGCACCACCAACCAGGGGCAGTACGTCCTGACAGGCATGCACTGTGGCCTCCCCAAACACCTGCTGCTGGTGGACCCCGAGGGCGTGGTGAGTCAGGCAGCAAGGAAATAAACACACCAGAAACATGTCTGCCAGTTGGCCTGAACACAACAACTAATTTCCTTATTCTTCTTAAACTCCCACTGCACATTTTCCATTTATATTCAATCTAATATTGAATAATCCATTTCTTGCACAATTAATATATATATCCTGCATTATATTTTGTTACTGTAAATTTGTATTTCCACATGTATATTTTCCACATGTATATATTTTAACTTTTTAATGCTATTTTATTTTTATTTTAGAAATATTTTGGATTGATAATTTCTAGTGTCTTCATTTCTCTTATGTACATTGCCTTGTCTTTTTATGCTGCTGCAACGCAAACATTTCCCAAATTGGGATATAAAAAAAAGTACTTATCTTATCTTATCTTGCTGTCCTCATTACAGGTCCGGACAAAAGACATGTTATTTGAGAGCATCAGCCACCTCATAGCGTACCACCTGAAGAACGAGCTGCCTATCGTGGCAGCAGAGAGCGAGCTGCACCTCAAACAGGTGGTCCGGAGGAAGCTGTGAGACCCCTGGCCCTGCAGGGGACGGTAAGCAGGCAGTATATTAACCATGTGTGCAATAACTAAAAGGATTTGATGAATGGAAATGCAAAAATGTATGGGGCAGTGGATGAGAAATACCATTTAGAAACTCTTTATGTTAATAAATAATTAGATTAATATAACTCCCATAAAGAAATGCATGTTTTTAAGATACAATTAGCAGGTTGTTGATGATTTGTGAGGGTGATCAATTGGTACAAATGAATGTGCCATAGCATTACTGCATGCAATCAAATGACAAATCATCTTGTGTCAGACTGTTATCTATAAGCTTAGAAAATTACTAAATTGTGCAAAAAATATAACATTTTCTTTGTCTTCTATATTTCACAGCTGTTTTCAAAGGTCGCCAACACGGAAATGAATGGAATGAATAAACCCAGGATGGATATTCATCTGGAACAAAGGATGTCACTGATTTCCATGAACAGTTCTTCCAAGTAGAGTGTCTCCTTTTACTTTCTCTGCCTTTTGCCCACAACGATCAACCAAACTATCCCTCGCCTATCATAAACTCCTCAGCATGCAGCTATTAAGCTAAAAGAACGACCAGAATCTACCATTTGACAGATTTCAGACCCGGAAAATTGTCAACCAATGTCAAAGATGTAGGTGACATCTGTCTGTAGAGGACCCAACTTCGGGAAATGGAAAAAGGATTTGAGGTGACGTCTCAAAAAGCCTGTAAAAGTGAAGTGCTTCCAGTAAACCACCGCCTATCACACACCGGACAAATCATGGATATCCCCAGAACAAAACCACAAAACTGTCAATCTGCTACAGACACTGCTTACAAATCTGAAGATGTAAAATGACTCACTAGGTCATTTCAATGTGAATGAAGGAAATGAAAATGCTGCGACTCTAAGAGACAATTTAATTTGAATGTAAAGAGTGTTTGTTGTTACGTGTTTACCTGACTCTGAGATGGCACAATGGAAACAAACCAAGCATGATTAAGTGCTGCATTTATAAAAAAAGAAAGCCACATGATTGTCTGCCTTTTTATGTTACATTGCCGTTGCGGGAAGGATTTCTGATTCTCTATGATAACCAAGGCACCAAAACCCACTTAAAGGTCACCTATTGTGCAAAATCCACTTGTTCATGTCTCTTCTACATCAACATGTGTCCCCTCTGTGTAAAGAGATTCGGAAAGTTTCAGGAAAAAAGATTCTCTCTCTTTTGATCCATTTATAGAGAAACCTGTCTGAAAATGAGCTGATCAGATTTTGGCCACTTTATGATGTCATAACGATTTTTTGTCTTGTGTAACCATTAGCCAATCACCAACCAAGGTAACCCCCCCCCCCCACCTTATCACCTGAATCACCTCCTAGAGCACCATTGTGTTCTTTTTAACCAAATATCTCTCAGAGGGGCGTGGGGAGTGGCTCCTTATTTTCATCTAAAGTAACAGACAGAGAATCAGCACTTTTGAAACAGGGCTGAAACAGAGGGGATTATGGGATGCTGCAATGATCTGTTTGGTGTTTGGAGCCAAACACTTCAGAGACATGTTTGTGTATATATCTGAGACCTATAATATATTGATGAAAAACAGTATAATAGGGGACCTTTAAAAAACGCATACTATCTTTGTATCGACAGTCAACTAGACATGGTCTTGAAGGTTTGATCATTTACCATAAATATCAGTCATGTGTTGTCATTCGTTTGCAAGGGCTGTTCATCATTTGTCAAAGACATGCTGTATGTGTTGTGTAAGCCTTCCATCAGACTCTACGTCCTATAGGTTACAAACTCAGTATACCCATGCCTGTATTTCCACAGCTCCTCCCACTTCAGTGCCTTAATAACTGCAGAGACAGGCATTTGTGTCAGATTGTAAATAATGTGCATTTATGCTCCTAATGCAACGTTTTCTTGCCATGCCAATGAATGACTGAACACACTTCAGGGTGATTGAGCTCTTTTACTCGTGAACAGAAATGTAAGCTGCTCTTGTTTTGGGATAAATGTTTAATACTGTCTTATTGTGTCACGACTGTTCTTGTCTTTATGTGTGGCCCTCATAATAATCCCCTCAGTGATTGATGTAAAAGAAAGGGGATTTAGACTTGAATTGAAATCCTTTATTTGTCAGGGAAATGCATTACTTTATTGATTGTCCTTATCCTACGTCGGTGTCTTTACATGTGGATGACTTGCTCGTGTATATCTGCTCTTTGGCTGCAGTTACAATCCTCTTTTTTGCCAATGTAATACTTTAAATTCTTACTCGAGGTAATCTACCTTTTGCATTTCCCTCTGATCTTGGCTGCAGCCTCACGAATGCACAGAGAGACGAGGCGAGGCGAGGCTACGAGGCTTTTGGTGAGGTCCAAATGATTACAGTGATTTTTTTCAGATCTCCCCTTTTGCTTTCTCAGGAATTTCTTGGATCTGTTGTTCTTTGAGTTACTTTAATGGCTTTTTTTTGGTCAATAAAACTGATTGAAAAGAGGGTACAATTCAAATGTTTGTGTCATGTGTGAGTTATTAAATCTCCTGGCTATTATAGCAGCGCCACAGTAAAGCCCAGCTGTCCATGCACACATGCTACGGCCAAATTAAGACTTGTGATGACCCAAAAATAGACATGAGGGACAGAGCAGAAGCTGATGATTTGAACACGAATTGTTCACTCTACAGCAGTGGTTCTCAACTGGTTAGGCCTCGGGACCCACTTTTTACTTGGTCAATACATCGTGACCCAACATTTTGAACCACTCAAATCTATTCAACAAAAAATCGTGCTGTAATATATACGCTTTTCAGAATACAATATTAATAAAAGTGAAGTACAGTGCATATATCCCTTCACAGAACTAAAGTATGCTTTTAAAAAAGGTTTAATGAGATGATGGAATCAAAGCTGAACTATATAAAAAGGCTCACATGCTGAAAACCCAACCCCAGCAGGGGGGTCTGGGGGGATTCTCCCCCAGGAGATTTTTAGAAATACTAACATAAACTACGCATTCTGGTACACTCTGAGAAGAAAATAAATAAATCTATTACTACCCGACATATTAATAATATGTTATGCCATTGTTTGTTTTTCACTTAGTTCTGACAGCTTGCTGCGAGAAGAGGAGATAGTCTGTGTGATTTACTTTAAATTGTGGGGAAGGGTAGATAGCTCCCATTGTTCTGTGACCTGTCAATCATCAAACCGGGGGTCATATTTCATTATGTGTTCATTTTGAAGTACCCATGGATGTATAAAGAATAGTTCTACCGCAGTTATTCTCCGTGGGGACTTCCGGCAACAATCTTGATTCTGATTGGCCAGAAGACTCGAAAAAACATCAGCAGAGATGTTTTATTGAGAAGATGATCACTACGTGACAGAAGTTTTCAAAACCATTTATGGTCTCCGGTACTTCCAGTCCAACGCCTACTGCATGCACAGCGTTAGAAAATCGGGCCTTCAAAATAAAAGTTTGCATTTTTTCCCCAAAAAAAAAAAAAGAAATTGCAATTTTTTTTTCCAACTTTTTTTTCTTCACTCACACATCCGCGACCCACTTGAAACGGGTCCGCGACCCACTTTTGGGTCGCGACCCACCAGTTGAGAACCACTGCTCTACAGTATCTGTGAATGAATGGAGTTACAAAGAATAGGGTCGAGTGCAGAGCAATTTGTTTGACTTTTTTTATTACAACAATATAGTATAAAATCAATAGCTTGTCACACAATCAATGCACCGGATTCTAACTCCTAAATAACCACTCACTATTCACATTCTGCTATAAACCCGACGTATAGGCTGCTGTCATTCAACTTATCCAGCCATGAAGGCACTCTTTTTTTTTTTTAGAAGTAACACTATTTCCCTTTGCTTTCTCAGTAAAGCCTTGCTGCTGTTGTTTCAGTTACTGTATTGTACTCATGCAGCGATGTCTGAACACGGGTCAGTTGTATTTGGCTTGGTCCCACAGGTTGCTGAGCTGGAGCTGTTTCATGCTGACCTGTGAAGGGACTGGAGGAAGAGAGAGATTTGTAGACGTTTTAAGCTGCAGTGTCACTAATGGGACATCCTCAGGATTTGGAGTAGCAGACCCTGCACCTCTTCATCCATCCGGCCCTGTTGGGAAACACAGAGAATGAAAGATAACGTTTCTGCATTGTATTCCATGTTGGTTAGTTGTGTGAGCCCTGTAACATCTTTGTATGTTTACCCACTCATCCTTGCAACAGAACAGACTAAAATGTTGAAGTTTGGTCAAGGACAGAGCCACTTTGCCTTGAACAGCAGCACTCGAAAAGCATTCAATCTGGTCAAGAACAACCCTGCCATTGACCTCCATTACAAGTGGGAAAGGGGGGCTAATACTACCATTGAAAATAGATGCCTTCCCCTTACGGTTAGCAGTCAACTAGCCACCAATCATGCTGACTAGGAGGTGGAGACTTCTGCTGATTGTAGTGCTCATGCGGTCAGATTGCACTGATTTAATGCAGGTTTGCAAGTGTGCTTTCTCCATAGTGTCAAAAACAAAAACCCAGCAAAGAAGTGAAATGCCAGATATTCACCCAGAATTGTTTTGAGCTGTAAAGGATTTAAAAAAATGCTAATTCATTCTGAACATCAAGTTTTCCTCCGCCTCTCATATATCGTACATAAAGGAGAATTAGACCAACTAAGATATAATTACTAAAAACGAATTAATGCCAACAGAATATGGAAGCCAATCGTTTTCTTAGAGGTCAACGACACCGGAGCAATCTCTCATTACATGACAACAAATAAATGTGTACATCTTAGTTGTTGAATATGATGAAACTGATAGAACAAGAGAGTGAGTTCTGTTCCTTTCCCTGGACCGCTTCTGAAATTACATCCACTTTGTCTGGTACTGTAAGCAGAGATGGTGTACAGCTTGTTCCCGCTCTTAAGTGTCTACACCACAAAGAGGGACAAACTTAAATCAAACCCTCTCAGTGCTATTCACAGTCCAGAATAAAAAAAATGTAAAAGCGTCTGTCCACGAGATTAGAACATCTTATTGATCTACCCTGAGACAGGGTTCATTTATTCACATATTGAAATCTTCCCTACTCAACAAAGGACTTGATTTGTCCTCTGTTGGCATTCGTGCATTTAACTCACCTGTACAGCTGACAGTAAATGTGAACGGTACACAGTCACCACCTGTTTGTGCTTTCTCTCCCAATCCTGCCAACAGATAACACAACATGTTACTGTTGTGTGAAGTGCATGTTTTGTAATTTTTATACAGTAAATGATAGTAAAATAAAATGTTTTTCCTCACTCCACATGTTACTAGTGACAATATTCTCCTCACCTGAAGCTGCTGGGTGAGTATGGCGATCCTGTTCTGTAGTGCCATTTGCTGGCCAGGGTTATTTTGGTGGATAGCTGATGATGATGAGGAGGAAGAGGTGATGCCCAGAGGAGGAGACAGAGCTCCCAGAGCCTCTTTTAGCCGAAACACATCCTTGGACAGCTCTGTAATCTGCAGGGAGACACAGACATCAGTTTGGTGACCTGGAAGGGAGCTTCACCAGCAGTGAAGCAGTGTTAATTTCGTCAATGAAAACTTTGACAATAATGTTCGTCAACGACCTTTTTTACATATATACACAAGCTAAAAATACATTTTTAATAATAAAAACTATGACGAAATGTATATTTTGTTTTCGTTGACGAGACGAGACGGGACTAAGGTGTTAATGGTGGACTATCGGACATTCAAAATGCAGGATATTTTCCCCCAATTGTCCCTCTTGTCTGTCAAAATGCATCCATGTCATTGGTTGAATTAGTTGGGATTCTGGGAATCTGCACACGTCACTCACACAACTAAAGTGTTAAGAGAGTGAAATGTCGCTTTACGAATTTCAACACTTGATACTGTCACCTTGATTCCAATTTCAGATGTCCTGTATTTGCCTAACTGAATTAGTTCAAAGAGAGAAAATATTTGGACTAAAGGTTTACTCAAATGTAATGATTTTTCATCGACTAAAACTGGACTAAAACGTTTTGAAATGTCGTCGACTAAAACTATGAAGGATAAAAATGACTAAAATGTGACTAAAACTAACCATTTTCGTCTAAAGACTAAGACTAAATCTAAAATAGCTGCCAAAATTAACACTGGTCTGAAGGTGCCATCT